TACAGTTAGGTTTTGCCACATCAAAAGATTCCATAATATTTAACCGGTTTCAGGTCTGCTCTGAAACGATAACAGTTTCAAGAGGAGGTGTGGTTTGTGATTTGCTTTTATATAGCACACTAACGTTATCCTATATTTATGTACTGAAGCTTGCTACTGTAACGCAGAGCACCTTCCCCCACCACCACCACACCCCACCTCCTACAACAACGTCAAGATGGCCAACGCTACCACCGTACCTCTTCCCCTACCACCATAACCCCATCTCCGCCGGTCACATCCAACATCGCGATCCCCAACAACGACGCCGAAGACAGCCCCTGCTACCACCATGACCTGCTACCACCATGACCTCGACTCCAACTGTCACATCCAAGACCACACTATGACCGTATCCCATCGCCAACAAAGACATCGAAGACAGCCCCACTACCACCGCGACCCAAGACTGTGACCGCGCCGCCCCTTCCCCAGCAACAACGTCGAAGTCAGCCCCTTCTACCACCATGACCCCGCCTTCGCCTGTCACATCGAACAATTCAACATGCTATCTCTAGTCAAGCTGTCACAGCCACCTCCGCTCAGCAACATCTCATGATGAAAGCAAGAGAGCCGTCACTATACCCGTGTCACCAAGACCCTGCCTTCACATTCACATCCACATAACTTCGCAACCTTAACATCGACATCGGTGATGACGGCCACTGCTACCGCCATAACCGTGCTACCACCTGTCTTCCGACCACCATGACCCTGCCAACAATGCGACCTCATCCCATCCCCCAACAATGACCTCGGTGACGGCAATTGCTACCGCCTGACGCGCCTTCGCCTGTCTCACCATCACCGCGATCAAACTCCGCAACCTCATTCCACGTGGCAATTGTTGCCAGCATTTCCAGGTTGGGAGTACATTCGAAAAGAAAAAAGAGCCATACTTGGTGGGACTCGAACCCCGAACCATTTGGTTGTCCGCCTTGAACATTACCGTGTGTCCAAACCTTACTGCTATCAAACAAGACGGAGCGATATACCAATCCACGAGCAACTATTTGCTCTCATGCGATTGGATGGATTTCGTCCCAGTGTATTGGGATTGGTTAAAGAGATCATTGGATCAGATATGCCTACTTTGCGTGAAATGTCGGCGTCGTCGTCGGTGGGGTCTGTGCTGCATGGTGAGCCGTTGTCGTCGATGGAGTCTGTGCCACATGCAGAGCCGTTGCCGTCGGTGGAGTCTGTGCTGCATGGGGAGCCGTTGTTATCGTCGATGGAGTCTGAGCCACATGCAGAGCTGTTGCCGTCGGTGGAGCCTGTGCTGCATGGAAAGCTATTGTCGTCGGTGGAGTCGATGTCGTCGGTAGAGTTGTTGTCGTCGGTGGGGTCTATGCCGCATGTAGAGCCGTTGCCGTTGACGTTCGATGCATTTGCGCTTGGACGCGCGACCCGACCCAAACGTGTCAAGCCTCCTGGTGGACACAGGGTGCTTTCAAGAGCACAAGAATCCTTGGCAGCGTTGGGTATGATCATGGAGCTTGCCAAGCACGATCTACTACTCTCGCCCAACCAACAGCAAGTCTTTGGCAGCCGTGTCCTTGAACCGCACTCGCAGCGTGTGTACAAGAAGCATTACCGGGGGTTGTGGTACTTTTTCGGCCTTATTGGGGATTACACGTCCCTGCTCATTTTGCGCCATGACTGTCCCCAGCATGCTCCAGCAATGTCAGTGAAGAGCTTGTGTGCGTACTTGAAGTACAAAACAGGTGCCATCGGGAGGATCCTGCACTATGACGATGGCCTCCCAGTGTTGGACGTCGATGGTCAGCCAGTGTTGTGCGATGGCCAATGGAAGGACCCCCAAAACATGATCCAGCTTAGCTCAGCGGTGTCTGCGGCACACAAGGCAAAAGGCATGGGCCAAGTGCCGTACGAAGAACAATGCGATGCCTGTTATCGCTTGTTCAGCGACAAGAGCCTGGTCACTGGATGCCGACACCACGCTGGACGAGGGCGACTCTCACGCACGGGAAATGCAAGGTTCTCTGAAGACTTCATCAACTGCATGACACGCATCAGGAAGCACGACCTGTGGCTTTACACCCCGAGTCCAGAATCAATGTGCAACCCCTTGGAGCTGGTGAACATCCGAAGGTACCTGCTGGCAGCCAACGATTTGTTGGGGTGGAAGTTGTGGACCATGATGATCTTCCACATCCGGCTCTTCCTTCGTTCCGACGAAGGCGTCGACTTCATGTGCAGTCAATTTTTGCCCCCTCTGACGTCGGTGGACGAATTTGGGACTGTTACGATGCTGGCCGTTCAAATCAGTGGCAAGACAGACAAGAAGAAATGGATTGTTCTCTCCCTGTATCGCGACGACCAATGCCCTGAGCTGTGCCCAGTGCGCGCAGTCCTGGCATGGATCCATTTGTCACGACATCCTGGAACAGGCTACCTCTTCCCTCACGACAAAGATGCCACCAAGTGCTATCCACCAGCAACGTTCCAAACCAAGTGCCGGAACGTCTGCACCAAGGTAACTGGACGACAAGGGCCATTTGCCACGCATTGGCTCCGCAAGACGGGTTGGCTCCTTGCGACATGGGGTGGAGCCTCAGACGTTGACATGCAGCAGGCATCGCGGCACAAGTCGCTGGAGATGGCCGGTCGGTACAAGCAAGACGCACAGTCCCTTCTTGAAATTGCGAAGAATCAACGGTACTTAATTGATGTCTAAGATGATGTCAATTCAAATCACCCTAGCGACAAGAGCATTTTGCAGTACGTCCCAAAATGGCGAGCGGTTTTCGTATCCAACCTGCAGGCAGCGGCGGGCGTGAATGTGGACTCCTCAACCGAACCAATGCCCGTGCTTGCGTGCAAGTTCATCAAAGACATGATCAATGCCGGACTACTGAACAAGGCCGACACCGAGTCCCCCATGCATGTCGCCAATGCATGCATGAAAAACGTTCAAGGCTGGGATTTGAAGTCTGAGATCAACGACATCCAACGACAGGTTGAAGTGAAGGCGTGTGGTTGCGCTACCGAGGTGAGGCGGCTTGTGCAACTCCTTTCGAAGTACCACACAGGCCCTGCAACGCCTTGCGTAATCGAGGGTTACGCAGTCCCTACGTCTCCAACACTGGTCCCTACGTCTCCAACACTGGTCCCAACCGACCTCGACAGCGATGCAACAGAACTCATCACTTCAGTCCTCCCACCCGAGTTATCGTCCGAAGCCCATCCAAAAGCCTTCGTCCCACCATCTTCGTCGCTCCATGCAGTCCCTCAACTCCCCTTACTGCCGTTTGTCCTTATGTCTTCATCACTACACACAGTATCTACATCCCCATCACAGAGTCAAGTGTTGTCGCCTCAGGCTATACCATCTGTCTCTTCTCAATCACCACTACGTAGTGTCCGTCCATCATCATCACTGTACACAGCACCACCAACCATATCGCTGCACTCTGGCGTATTAACGTCATATCTCTGCACAGAACCCCCGCCCCCACCCCCCTCAAAACCCCCTGGCGTATTAACGTCATCGCTCTGCACAGAACCCCCGCCCCCACCCCCCTCAATGCACTTATCCGCGACAGAAACGAGTCAAACGTCCAACGACCTGCACACCACGTCAAGCTCGTTGATCCAGCCAGCGCCCTATGGACAAGATGTTGACAAGTCTTCAACTCGACCCAAGAAGCGACAACGACTTGACGATCACAACCAAAACACCAAACAAGCGCGAGGCGGGTTATTTGATCTTACCCTCGATCGGCAAGCATTGGCAAAACTGTTAACGTCTGCACAGAAATTGGCTGCATTTCAGGTAATCTATGATCGGTGCCTTTCACTACCAAGCGTGGAGTACACAAATGGGCTTCGTGCATTTCTTGGCCAATCTGTCAAGCCTGCGTTGTCATGCCTTCGAGATCATTGTGATCAAAGCGTTGAAGAGTTCGAACGTCGTTGGGGTGCTAACATGGCATTGAGCAAGTTTAGCACAACGCGCTGCAAGGGGGG